TCAAAACACAAAGATCAGTAACTTATGTGAATAGCAGGAATAATGAATTAGAAAATGTCACGGAAAATTAGATCCTATTCACAAGAGCCACAAAAACTCTAAGTTAATGAGAGAAAAAAAAGAAGTATCCAAAACTTACATGAAGAAAATTATTTTTAAAAAACTTTTCTGAAAGACAAAATAAGATGTCTGAGAAAGGTGCAAGGATGCTCATTGCAGAATTGATTGTCTTGGCAAAAAAAAAAAAAAATGTTGACAACAACCTAAAAGTCCACAAACGTGGAGAGGGCTATATTAATTTTTTATCCATAGTATGGGATACTCTGCAGCTGTCAAAAAGAATGACGTGTTTCTATGTGGGATCCCTATTTATGCAACAGAAATAACTCCAAGATTTGTTAAGCAAAAGATGCACGTAGCAGAAGGATGTTTCTCGATAGTAAATAGTATTGATAATGCTCAATAACACTGAGTATTATGGCTTTCAATATTGCCAGAACACTCTAGAAACATTGTAACCAAGCACACGGCTGATGCCCTGCTTGTCAAAGAGTCTTGTTCTCAAAACTTGGAGCCGCCATGGGACAGAAGTTCCCCAGAGGTGACCTTGGATGAATTCCCAAACAGATGAGAGAAAAACAGTCAAGAGGAGATGCTCTGGCTCAGAGCCAAGCCCAACCCAAATCAACAATGCTGGCCCACCCCCAGTGCTTTCCTCACCTGCGGCTTATACAAGGGCATTCATCCCAGAGGCTGCATCTTTATCACCTCAGCCCCTTGGAGGAACTGGCCCTCCACCAGCCCAGCTCAGCACCTTGAGGAGGTCTGGCCTCACCCGCTGCTCCGGGCAGCAGTGGGGGGAGCGGTCTGGACACTCACCAGGGAGGTCAGGCTTCTCCAAATTTCCGAGTGGCTTCCATCTCATACCTAGATGACTGGAGGCAGCAGAGCAGTGATTAAAACCTGTGGCTGTGGGGATAGCCAGCAAGGATTGAACCCCAGCACTGCCACTTACGAGCTGTGAGACCTTGGGCAAACTGCTTCACCTCTCTGTGCCTCGGTTTTTCTCTCTGTGAAATGGGGTTGATAAACAGTGCCTGCCTTCTAGAGTGGTGGGAGGATGAAGTGGTCGTATGAAAAGCGCTCAGGTCAGTGTCTGGCTCTCAGGAAGCGATATTTAAATGCTGGCTATCATTCTGCTGATGTAGCACAAAGAACTCAGATGAAGTCAGAGAGGTAATCTCAGTGCTATCGACATTTTGGGGCCAGATCATTCTTTGCTGTGTGGGGCTGTGCTGTGCATTGTAGGATGTTCAGCAGCATCCCTGGTCTCCACCCACTAGATGCCAGTAGCATCTTCCCCAGTCATGAGAACCAAAAATGTCTCCAGCCATTGCCGTGCATCCCCTGGGGGACACATAACCCTTGGTGGAGAACCACTCCTCTAAGTGAGCTCCCCATGAATGGAAGCATGCAAGCCAAGGCTATGAGACTGAAGGGTGGGAACAATATGCAAGACACTCAGGCTTTCGTGAAGAGGCAGTTCCTAAAACCTGATCCTACCCCAGAAGCAATGCTTCTGTGTCACTCATCAGCCAGGCTCATTTCTCCTGTTGGCTGATGGCTCGAAACCAGGGTCTCTGCTCCTCTCCACTGTTTAGGATTAAGATGTTTGTGGTATTCTACTTTACATCCATGAAGAGGTAATCCCACACAGTTCTGAGAAACATCCTCCCTCATCCATTTGGAGAAAATAATAAAGACACACGATGTCTTATGTAACAGGAACTGTTCTAAGAGATATGAACTTACTAACTTCATTTAACCCTCATGACAATCCCATGGCGGGGCGGTCATTGTTATTCCTGTGTGTTACAGATAAAGAAACCAAAGCACAGAGAGGTTAAGTAACTTGCCTAAGGTCACACAGCTAGTAAGCGGCAGGGCTGAGATTTGAACTCAGGCAGCCTCTCTCCAGACTCTATGCTGTACATAATGACACAACCTACCTCTTGGTTGTAAGTACTGACTCTGGTAATTTTCAAACTTATTTTTTCATGGCAGGATCCTGTCATCAAATGAAAGCTGAGCCGATAATCTGATAACAATTTAATAGATAAACATGGAACTGGCTCTAGCTGAAGGAAAGGGATCGGATCCCCACTAGACAGTCTCCCCATGCCTTGGTGGCCTCTGAGGGCTCTATGGAACAGTTCGGAAATGCTTTGCAAGCCCCTCAGTTTGCAGGCGAGAAAGCCGAAACAAGACTGATAATAATAACAAGCACAAGGGCTGATGGTTACATTTGAGTGTTGCATATCAGGCACGGGGCTGCACACATCAGTGCATAATCTCATTCCTTTCCAAATGATAGCATACATAAATGCCATATTTCTTTGTGTGTGTGTCAATTTTGAAAAATATATGAGTGAGAAGGAAAAGTATATCTAGAGAAGGCAAGATGAGTTGGTCAAGGTGTAAGGAATTTGATGCGAGGGAGAAGTCCCAAATCTGCAAACTGTATTCTGTGGGAACACTATAATTCCCTATGATGGTTACAGATGTTGCCACATTTCTTTTAATCAGCTCTTTTTGGAACTTCAATGCACATTTTAGCCTCTCCCTGAGCATAATATCTGAAAAGTTGTGAGTCTGAAGTTTTCTCTCCAGACACACATTAAAATAAATCGCAGCTAGACGATAAGTAATGTTCATCCATTCACCCCTTTAAACCATCTCGCATGGGTCCGTGTGTCCTGCTGAGGGAAATGCATTTACAAAGCTTCCCCCCGCCCAGGGTCTTGTGAGGGAGGAGAAGGGGAGAAACGGTGTTAGTTACGTGACTGTGTTGTTTTTTTCTCTTCACTTCGATGTGCAAAGGCTCCACATCTCCAGGATGCGGAGGGAGAATCCGGTAATAAAAGAAATAAAAGAAAGAGGGCAGAGGACGGAGGGAGGCTGTGGAATTAACAAATCACCACAAACGTAGTCTCTTAAAACAACACACTTCTTGTCTTACAATTTTAGAAATCTCAAGTCTGAAATGGATCTCACTGGGCTCGAGTCCAGGTGTAGGCAGGCCTGGTTCCTTCCGGAGGCTCCAGGGGAGAATCCCTGTCTTTGTCTTTTCTGGCTTCTCAAGAACACCGTATCCATCTGATCCCTGCTTCTGTCGTCACATCTCCTTCTCTGACTCTCCCGCCTCCCTTTTCCACCTTCTAAGAAGCCTAATGACTGCACCAGTTTCACCCAGTGTGTGTTTCCCAGGGCTGCCATGACAAAGTGCCACACTGAGTGGCTTAAAATAACAGAAATGTATTCTCTCACAGTTCTGGAGGCCAGAAGTCCGAGATCAAGGTGTCAGCAGGGCCATGCTCCCTCTGAAACCTGTGGGGGATTCCTTCCTTGCCTCTTCCTAGCTTCTGGTGGTTTGCCAGCCATCTCGGGCGTTCCTTGGCTTGCAGCTGCATGACCCACTCTGCCTTCATCACCACACGGCGTTGTCCCGCGTCTCTGTCTTCACACAGCCGTCTTCTTGTAAGGATACCAGCCACATTGGATTAGGGGCCCACGACCTTATCTTCACTAATTACGTCTTCAGTGACCCTATTCCAGATGAGGTTACATTCTGAGGTACTGGGGGTTAGGACTTCAACATGTCTTTTTCTGAGGGGGATGCAACTCAACTCATAACACCTGGATAATCCAGGATAATCTTCCCATCTCAAAATCCTTAACTTAACCACATTTGCATAGTCCCTTTTGCCACGTGAGTTCACATATTCACAGGTTTCAGGGATTAGGACATAGACATCTTTGGGGAGGGGACACTATTCTGCCTATAAAAGTGAGGTTATTTATGGTCCACAGGAGGCCACCAAGACTCAGCTGGGAGGGCCAGGCCAGCGCCCAGCTGCCAGGGGCTGTCGTCCCACAGCAATGCAAGTGGAAATGGCAAGGGGGTGATGGAGTGTGAAAAAAGAAAAGGGTGGTAATACTTTCCATTAAGAAGTTTAAAAATATGATTTCATTCCTATTTTATTACACAATCCCAGCAGCCCAGGGACCATGATGGAAAGGAAGATAAGAAACCACATATTTACAAAGAACCTGATAATGGCAATGGTCTACCTTTAATGAGAACTCGCCTCGTGCCAGTTCTTGTTTTAAGTACGTTCCTTTCATTATGGCATGTGACCCTCTCAGCACTACATGATCCCATTCTACAGAGGAGGAAACTGAGGCTCCGAGAGGTTAAGGTATCTGTCCAAGGTCACACAGAATCCAAACCTGGCTGTTTGGCTGCAAAAACATTCTTAAACACTAGTTCTATACTGTGTACCACCTCCTACACTAGATGCCAGGAAATAAAGAGATGGGTAAGAAATGGTCCCTGCACTCGGGTGGAGGGGGCTCACAGTCTAGCGGGAAATAGATTATTAGAAGACCCTGGGTTGTACTATAATTAAGATGCTATGGTATGTAGCAATATGCATGGTAAGACCAGGAGTCTTAAACTGGTGGCCCCATGTGATATGCACAGTGTTTTAAATTTGAAATAACTGCCAATATATAAAAGTCAGGAGTTTTCACATAAACAAAAAAAAAAAAAACCCTGGAATTCTGGCTTCTCTTGAAAAATTTCAGAGAATCTGACAATGTTTGGTCCACCAACAACAGTTGGCAAGAGTTTAGAGCAGCTGCCTCATTTGAACGGAATATCCATTTCTCCACAGTCCCCACGATTCCCTATCACTTACTCAGCTGGATTCACTAATTTGTGTATCTGTTGGGCCTCTGTAGGTATTTGAGTTTGAGATCTCCAGGAAAGACAAATAAAGCATGTGTGTTTAATGAAGAAATATTTGAGCATCCTTTCCAGACTCAGCTCACCCAACTTTATCTTTCCCTCCCAGGTCTTTGTTATTGTCGCAATATTCTCCTCATGCACTGCTCCTTGAGCATCCTCTGCAGTTTAGGAGCTTTTCCAAAGACAGAACATGACCAACCTCACGGCAGTATCTGTCTTCCTCCTCCGGGGCTTCTCGGCTGACCCTGAGTTACAGCTGCTCAGCGCTGCCGCCTTCCTTCTCATCTACCTGGCTGCGATTCTGGCGAACATCTCCATCATGGCCGCCGTGACACTCAACACCCGCCTGCACACGCCCATGTACTTCTTCCTCAAACACCTCTCCCTGGTGGATATCTGCTCCATAACCACTACTCTGCCCCGGGCCCTGGTGGCTACCATGGTGGGCTCTGTGGAGATTTCCCTCCCTGCATGCGCATCCCAGCTCTTTGCCTTTGTCTGCCTTGGGTCCACAGAGTGTTTTCTCATCACCTCCATGGCTTACGATCGTTGTCTGGCCATCTACAGGCCCCTGATGTATGGGAGAGCCATGAGCCCCCGGACTTGCCTCTCCCTGATGGTGGTAGCCTGGGGCAGCGGGATCATCTTCTCCACCTTCCACACAGCCAACACCTTCTCCCTGCCCTTCTGTGGCCCCAACACAATTGACCACTTCTTCTGCGACATCCCCCCACTCATGCACCTGGCCTGTGCCAACGCAGATGCCCATGAGGCTGCTGGATTTGCAGCCAGTGGCTGCATCATCATGAGCTGCTTTGCCCTCACCGTCCTGTCCTACATCCGCATCTTGGCCACGGTGGTCCAGATCCGCTCCTCGGCTGGCCGCTGGAAGGCCTTCTCCACGTGCTCTTCCCACCTGGCCACTGTGCTCCTGTTTTATGGCACCGGCAGCTCTGCCTACATGCAGCCCACCGCCCACTACTCCCCGCTGCAAGGGCGCATGGCTGCTGTCTTCTACTCCATCCTCACACCCACCCTGAACCCGCTTATCTACAGCTTGAGGAACAAGGACATGAAGGGAGCCCTGAGGAAGCTCTATCTTCAGGCGCCATCTTAGGACCTGGCATCTGGACATAGGAGGGACCCAGAAATCCACCATCACAGAACTTTCCTTGTGGTCACGGTGGAGGTGTTAATGCCTCCAGAGACCACCAGGAGCACACCGTAGCCCAAAAAGTTGGCAACAAAGTTGGATGACGTTGAGTCATACAGGGGACCCCAATAGATGTCCAGATAAAATGGAGACCTGTCCAATGTGCATTTAATTTAAGCAAATTGTACTACATGTACACAGAGGAAGCTAGAAAGAGAGGGAGCAGATAAGTTAAACAGTGGGGAGTCATTCCATCCAAGAGCCCCCTCAATGACCCTATTCCTGGAGTTGAGTCCAACAGGAGAGCCTTCTCAGTTCATCTCAGTTTCCACGTATCTCCCACAAGTGAGTGCACCTTGGCCTACTGAACATGGTTCTGATGTTGAGTGGTACACATTTTTCATCTCATATACGTCCTAAATGCAGGCCAATAACTCCATCAGAAGAAGAACCAACTATTACAGAATAAAAATAGGCCATATTGGACTGGCAGAGATATGGTCTTCATGTGGGGCCTTCCTAAGGGAACATCAAGGGTAATTTTGTCTGTCTGCAATGTCCACCTGATAGCACCATATTAGTTGGGTTTTGAGTTCAGCTGTTTTAAAGAGGCCAGATAACAGTGGCTTAAATAATACAGAAGGTTTATTTCTCTTCCGTGTAAACATCTGTGCTTGAAGGTGATCCTGGGTGTCTCTAAGCCACCAAGTCATCCTGAGACCAGGTTCCTCCTAGCTCGTTGCACTAGCATGCCCTAAGTTCTCCTTTTCCACACGGTAGGAGACAGCTCACTAGCACCTCATTCACAATCCAGCTGCAGGAAGGGAGACAGAAGAAGTAGAGGGCAAGCCATGTACAAGCCAGAAGCTGTACACATCACTTCTGCTGATATCCCATCGGCTAGCACTTAGTCACATGGCCACACTGACCTGCAAAGGAGGCTGGGAAATGTTGTCTCCAGCTAAGTTGCCATGTGCCCAGATAAAACTCCAGGGAGAAAGAGAGAACGTTATTTACTAATTTTTAATCACTCCCCACTTTTGATCTCTTGATGAGCCACCATCTATCTTTTTATTCCATTCTATCATGATGCTTCCAATTTGTCTTTTTTTCTAAGGCCACCTGTACTAGTCACTTTTATATACATTATGTCTACAATTCTCTATAATATTTTCTTCATTTTGCAGATAAGGAAAATAAAATTCAGATAGGTTTGGCAATTTACCCAAAGTTAAGAGGATAGAGAAAGGCTTGATATATTTACTCCAGGACCAGTCGGCGTTCTACGTTTTTATCATAGAGATTGAGTTGTATTTCTCTAGGACTTGAAAAATCTTATGGTGTTGAGACATCTCTTTGGGAAGTTTTAGGAGAGGTTGCAGTGCTACAAACACATCCTTGAGGGTTGAACAGTCCTCCTTTACTTGAGAATACCAACCTCTTGATCAAATGCACAACTTGGGAGAGCCATAAATTGGCCAAAGAGAGAGTATAGAGGCATGTGACCAGCCAGCCAGATCAGGCAAGTCTTTGGTGATTACTGGGATGTGGCAGACACTCCCTAAGGAGTCACATCCTGGTATAGTCCCCTCCCCTTGAGTGTGGGAGGAACCTGTGATTCACCTTTCACCAACAGAATATGGCAAAGGTCATGGGATGTCAGTCCCATAATTACCTGAGATCTACTCTCTGAGAGAGAAAATATCCAGGTACTTGGTGCATCCCCCAGATCCCTGAGGGGCTGGCTCCCTATCATCCTTTAGGTCTCAGCTTCCTTGTTGCCTCCTCAGATGGACCCTCCTGGGCACTCCCTTCTAAAGCAGATCCCCTCCAGGTCACTCTCAATCCCTGCATCCTGTTTTATCATCTCTATTGCATTTATCATCCTTCTTAATTACCTAAACTATTCAGTTTGTTTGTTCTGTCCTGAATGCCCCTCCCCACTCCTTCAGACATAGTCTCCCTGAGGCCAGGGCTCTGTTTTCCTCAGTGCTGTATCCCTTGTGTGTAGCATAATGTCTGGCACACACCAGCTGTTCAATATTTATTTTTCTGAACAAACAAATGTGAAGCAGAACAATAACACACAAAAACGAGAGCTTCCCTGGTGTAAGCTGGAGTCAGGGGGCTGGGATCCCTGAGCCTTGGTGGTTTCTTATCTCCCTCTCTACAGTCATTTCTGCAACACCTGCATGAGATCTTTGGGTTCCACAAACCCAGTTCAGACACCCTTTCCTAAATCAGATTAATAAATGCTATTGAATCTAACCCACCATCGATTGGAAGATACTCCATTAATTTACATTCCATTAAGAAAGAAAAAGACACTGCCAATCAAACCATGACACCTTATTAATAAAACACATCTTGATTTCCCACGTTAAAACTTGCTGTTCAGCCTTCAGATCACAGCTTAAACATCACTCCTGATCACCCCTGCTGGCCAACGTGGGTAGTTTTTCTTTCTATACTCTCTCTCAGTACTCTCATTTCTCCAAAATAGGCATTGCAATTTTAACTAATCGTTTAATTATTTTTTTAAAATCTGTCCCCCACACTAGAATGAAACCTGAATGAATGTAGATTACATCTTCTTGTTTACCATTATCCAATTATCCAGTGTGCTGGTAAACCAGCTCTCTGGAAAAAAGAAATTGTAGCGTTTTCCCATTTCCACCATGTAAATAATCTAACCACAGCTGACGTCAAGCTATCCATAGCTTAACAACTGGTTTGCAACATTCTTGGATATTTAATAATTAACCCCTGTGAGCTGGAGCTGGTGCTAGCATGCTCCAACACACAGTTGACCCAGGACCAACACTGTGTCTGCACATAATAGCAGCTCAATAAATAATTGGTTAGTGACTGAATGAATAGTTGTTGAATCATGTTGAATGAATATGTAGCAAGTATTTCAAACTTAACACATCTACATACAGCTCTTTATTTTTCCTCCATACCTGCGCCTCCCCCAGTTTTCACCCCACTTAATGACACTGCCATCCATCCATCACTCAAGGTAGAAACCTAGCAGCATATTGATTTCTCTCTCTCACTCACCTCTCTCCATTACACTTACATCCAATATGTCCATGAGTCTTACTAGTTCTGCTCTCAATGTATATTTCAAATTCATCCACTTCACACCATCCCCACATGTGGAAATTAATAAAAGAAACCTTAACTACAAATTGGAGTTGGGAGGGAGCTCTCACACTACATCATACCTCGCCAATTACTACAAGCAGTAAGAGAGGGAGCCTTGCATCTGCCACAGGAAGTAAACGTACTTTACCACTGAAGGAAGATTTATTTCCCCACCTGGCAACAGCCCAGCCAATGAGACACCAGTTGCCACCCTGAAGTGTTGCTTTCCCCCAGCGGACTTTCCTTTAGAACAGCCCTTCCCTACTCCCTCTATAAAAGCAGCTCCTCTCAGTTTTCTGGATTTGCCTGTGGTCTGCCATAGCATGCACATACCAAATTGTAATTCTTTGGGCTATTCCCGAATAAACTTGTTTTGAGGATAAAATAGGCAAATTTGCTTTTTTTTTTTTTTTTTTGGTGACAAAGATTAGCCCTGAGCTAACATCTATTGCCAATCCTCCTCTTTTGGCAGAGGGAGATTGGCCCTGGACTAACATCCATGCCCATCCTCCTCTACCTCACATGTGGGACGCCACCACAGCGTGGCTTGACAGGCGGTGCATAGATCTGCACCAGGGATCCAAACCTGTGAACTCTGGGCCACTGAAGCAGAGTGCGAGCTCAACCTCTACACCACTGGGCCGACCCCCAAATTTGCTTTTTAAGTTGACAACAACTTCCTCCCTGCTCTGCCTTCCTTCAACTATTACCCTCCTAAACCCACCCTCCACCAAGAAGCCATGTGTTCATGTTAAAAATCATCCCCCCGTGGGAGCCTTCCAACGCCTTTTCTTTGCCTTGGGCTATCCATGGTCGGAAGCCTCCAAGTTCTCCAGCCTCCTCTCCTGCACCCTCCCCTGCACCTTTTACCCTGAGCTATTGTCATTACCTCAGTTCTTCAAACACACCAATCTTCGCCCTGCCTCAGGGCCTTTGCACTTGCTCTTTCCTCAGCCTAGAATACCCTTCCCAAATCCGGTCATAATTACCGATTCATATTTGAGCCTCACTTCAAATGTCGTCTCTTTGCAGAGCCCTTTCCTAAGGACCTAAGTGCCATAACCCTCCCACCTTCCCTCCCATCCCCCTGTTTTATTGCTTTCGGATACCTCAGCATTTTTGGAAATGTCTATATCACTTTGCAGAGTCTGAGACAAACACTTGGGTACCGGTAGTTTATTCCGGGAGGGCGGAGTCCGGGCGCCAGAAGGCAGTATGCCTGCGCGCCAGTCTCCGGACTACAACTCCCAGGGTGCCTGGCGTGCGGGCTGGAGCGCCCTTCCGCTTCCGGCCGGGAGATCCAAGGGTCCCTGGTCCGGCCGTGCAGGTCAGTGAGTGTGTGCGCGCGTGCGCGAGTAGCGTGTGCGGTAAGCGAGCGTGTATAGGTGAGTGCATGTCTGTGTTCGAGCGAGGGTGTGTGTCTCTGGGCGAGAGGGGTGTGTCAGTGTGTACGGGGTGAGTGTGTGTGAGCGAGGATGAATGTTCGAGCAAGTGCGTGCACGTGTGTGTGTGTGTGTGTGTGTGAGGGAATGTGATGTGTTTGAGGGGGTGTTTTTGATCCCCCAAGAGTGTGTGTTTGGGTGAACTAGTGTGCGTGTGTGTGTGTGTGTGTATGTGAGTTTGTGTGGTGGTGTGAGCCCACAAGCCAGGTGTCTCTTGAGTGTGGATCTTGAGCCTAACTTTGTGGCTTTCTGTGATGGTATCACGTGTGTATGGTTTTTTGCTGTTATTGTGACTCGTATGTTGGTGTGATTTATGTGAGGATGTGAGTGATTTAGTTCATGAGATTATGTATGTCATGTTGTGTGTGTGTG